AAAATTGACGACAGTGGACAAAATGACGCAATTCCCGTCGTGTGATGTGGCAGTTCAATAATCCGTAGATTTTCTCTCTCCTTTACCTTACAGTTTTGTTTTCTTTTTGGATGTATGAATTAATTTTCCTCTCGATTTACATCTTTCATTTTCTCCTCCCAGAACCACCGATACGGTTTATCTCACAGGGATATTGCTAACACAGAGAGCTTCTAGGGTTTTCCTCTCGATTCATTATCATTCTCAAATGGACGAAGATGCTGAGATTTCCCAACATTCGCTTGAAGAAGATCCCGATGTGACTCCTACGGTTTCGGCTGATTCTGTTCTTGGTTCGAGCGGTGTTGGTCACGAGGGATCGCAAGCCATTGATGATGATGATGCTGCGGCTTCACCTATGGAGCTTGATTCGATGGTCACTAATGCCGATGCCGACGGAGATAGCCGTGCTAGGGTTTCTGAGAGTGAGAGATCGGACATGGATCGTATCGTCTCACGCGACGAAGATGCTATTAGTGAAACGAAACCCGAGATTGATAACGAGGATGTAACTGATACTCAGATTGATGACACTCCTGAGCTTAAAGAAGATGTTTCCGATGATCAATCTAGTGAGCTTGGCTCAGAAGCTGATGAGAGGAAATCGGAGGTGGATGATTTGAGTGAAGATAAGCCAAGAGCCGTTACGGATTACAAATCTCTCTTGTCCGAGTTTGATGACTATGTTGCAAGCGAGAAAATGGGTTCTGGAGTTTCAAGGGCATTGAGTTATGGGTTTGAAGTTGGCGATTTGGTTTGGGGAAAGGTGAAGTCGCATCCATGGTGGCCAGGTCATATATTCAATGAAGCTTTTGCGTCTCCTTCTGTTCGTCGCATGAGGAGGATTGACCATGTTCTTGTTGCGTTTTTCGGAGATAGTAGTTATGGGTGGTTTGATCCTGCTGAGCTTATTCCATTTGAACCGCATTTAGCAGAAAAATCTCAGCAGACTGTTTCGAAGCATTTTGTGAGGGCTGTGGAGGAAGCCATTGATGAGGCGAGTAGAAGGTCAGCTCTTGGCTTGACTTGTAAATGTCGGAATCCTTATAACTTTAGGCCTACTAATGTTCAAGAATACTTTGCTGTTGATGTGCCGGATTATGAGCTACAAGCCGTTTACTCTACTGAGCAGATTGAGAAATCTAGGGATAAGTTTTCACCTGTCGAGACTCTCTCGTTTGTGAAGCAATTGGCTGTAGCACCTCAAGAGTGTGATTCAGAAAGTGTAGAGTTTTTCAAGAAGAGGGCAGTGGTTTATGGTTTCCGCAAGGCAGTGTTCGAGGAGTTTGATGAAACGTATGCACAGGCCTTTGGGACGAAATCTATTCGCACTTCAGGGAGTACGCATGAACCTCATAATAGAAAACCATCTCGAGGTATTGTCACCTTTCAGAAATCATGGTATTGTTTCCATTTTTGTGTAATCTTTGCTTTGCATGTCAATCTTTTCTATGCGGACCTGAAGCAGCTATCATGTGGTTTACAGAGATACTCTGATTACACCTTTTGTATGCTCAGGAATATAGGATTTATATCGTTCTAGTTATATTCTTTACATTAGCATGCTCGAAAGAAGCACAAATTATTTTTGATATTGAAATCTGCATTGCAAAAGGTGGCCTAACCACAATCCTGCGTTCCTTTCTATTATGGAGAGTCCCCCATACATTTACCTTGTTTGCTTTGTTGTTTATTGTCTTGGTAGTTAATGTGCATTTACAATTTCTCATGTTTCCAGCTCCCTTGAGTGGCCCACTGGTCATAGCAGAAACTCTAGGTGATCCGAAGAGCTCTAAAAAACCCAGCAAGGTTAAGGTCTCTAAAAAACAAGACAAGTATCTTGTCAGACAAAGGGATGAGGCTGGTGATAAGATTGTTCAATTTGGCCAAGTTGAAGCAAATGCAGCAGATTCTGATATGCAGAGCTTTGGTGGATCTTCTGATGGGGATTTTGTGCTGCAGAGAAGAGCTCCAATGCTTCAAACTCCAACGAGAGATGAGCAGTCTGGGAATGCCAGCATGGATATCACCTCTTCAAGTGCAGATATTCCTGGTAAAGATTCAAAGCTCTCTCTTGATGAAGAAGCAGAAGAATCAAAGGAGAAAATGGAAGAAAAAACTGTTGTTTTTCCAGAGCATGGGAAATCTGAAGCTCTGGCGAGCCTTAAACAAGAGGCTGGAAGCTCTCTTGAGCCTCAACTTGAGTCTCCTCGATGTTCTCATATCTCAGCATCTGAGGGGAAAAGTTCCACAGGGTCTGCAATCAAGAAAGTCAAAGTTACTAAACGATCTTCAAGCGAAATAGGCTCTGGGAATCCTCCTTCAGAGCCGAAAAAGAAAAAGAAAAAGAAGAATGAGCCAAACTCTGACCATTCAGAAAAGAGAAAGTTTGCTGGAGCCAAGAAATTTTCCTCCCAGCTTGGTTCATCAGCACAGTTGCACTCCAATATGGAAGTTGATGTGCCGCAGCTGTTGTGTCATCTGCAAGATCTCTCTCTTGACCCTTTCTATGGTTCTTCAGTTCCTTCTTTTGGAGCCGCTAGGAAATTCTTTCTCCGTTTCCGTTCACTTAATTACCAGAAAAGCTTGGCTGTATCTTCGTCTGATGCTACTGCTGAAAATGCCAAAGACACAAAACCCTTAAAACCTGTCAAAGCTGTGAACAGAACTGAAGGCCCATCAAAAGCTGGAAAAAAACGTCTCTCTTCTGATTGCCAAGATGAAATCCCATCAGCTAAGAAGCTGAAGAAATCTAATCAGTTGAAGCCAATGGCTTCTGAGAAGAAGACCATTCGAGAAGTAAAGGATAGTATGAAAGCAGTAAGAGAGCACAGTGGTACGGTTCAAGCAAAATCAGCCAAAGCTCACACTGGGAAGAAAACGGCTCCTTCAGTGAAGGTCGTTGAGCCCACAATGCTGGTCATGAAGTTTCCACCTGGCACATCTCTTCCTTCATCTGCATTGCTAAAGGCGAGGTTTGGTCGCTTCGGGCTGTTAGATCAATCCGCCATTAGGATTTTCTGGAAATCCTCGACCTGTCGAGTTGTCTTTCTGTACAAAGCCGACGCACAGACTGCTTTTCGGTATGCATCGGGAAACAACTCTCTATTTGGAAACGTGAATGTAAGGTACTTTCTCCGTGATGTTGATGCTCCTAAAGCTGAAGCTCATGAACCAGAAAACGCAAAGGAAGATGAGGAACCACAGAGCCAGTTGCATGACCAAGCACCACCACTTCACAAACCAACCTTACCACCACCAAACATTAACCTCAAATCCTGCTTGAAGAAACCGGGCGATGACCCAAGCAGTAGTAGCAACAACGGAAATGGTAACCGTAGAACCGCAAGAGTTAAATTCATGTTAGGAGGTGAAGAAAACTCGAGTAAAGCAAATGCCGAGCCACAAATCTCGACGAGCTTGAGTAGAAACAATGGACCTTCTTCTTCTTCATCATCATCATCTGTTGCAATGGAATATGTTAGTAGTAAGAAGTTTCAAAATGTTGTTCATCATCAACAGCTTCCTCCTTCAACATTGCCTCCAATTCTTCCTCTCCCTCCACAATACTCAAAACCACAAGTTCCCACTAAACCAGTGGACCATGTTGAACCACCGATGCCACCTTCCAGAAATTTCCGTGGCCCGAGCCAAGCGGCTGGTGCAGGAGACATCTCTCACCAGATGCTCAACCTTTTGTCAAAATGCAACGACGTTGTGGCTAACGTCACGGGCTTGTTGGGCTATGTTCCTTACCATCCCTTGTGACAAAACGAAGCCCGTTGACAGAATATGTGGTGTATTGTTTTGGTGATATATTTGTATGTTAGATATTAGTTTTTTTCGTTATTTTAATCATGTTTTACAATCATAATGGATCTCTCCTTCCTTGTTTTAAATGTTGTGTTTTAGCTTTAAAGTTATGTGCACTATCCTGAAGCAATTTCATTGTGCTGTTATATATGATTTCTCTAGTAATCTACTTGGTGTATAAGTTAAGTTTGATACCCCTAGTGCATGGTTGAGTGACTTGAGGCGGATTGAAGCCAAACC